TATCAACCCCCCCTCCCAGCACTGGGGAGCAAGTTCCCTGAGACACAAAATAACCACATCTACTGTGTATGACATGTAAAACTTAACTCCCTGAAATCACATTCTAACTCTAACATTCCCACGCTAGTTTTAACCAATCAAAAACAACTTCCTTTGTTTATTTGTATCTGACCCCAAAGGTCAAAATAAGGAAGTCAGAGGAAAAATACAACTCTCTAAAAAAATAAAACTCTGCTTGACTATTATTTAACTGAATTCAAGAACACACTGTCCGACCTAGGGATTAAACTCACAATTAGTATGTCATCAAATTCATGAATGAATGTGTTAATCTACTAAGCTATTGTTTTAGAAATAAAGGGATCAGTTCAAAATTCCCTAAAGGCTACCATAATCGACAAGCACCTGATGAAAACCTGAGGTCCCAACGGCTGAAACATTGTGATAACAACAAAGATGGTGACAACTGTCCACATGTAAATAATGCATCATTTTTTTTCTGGAGCTTTTTTACAGTGTTTACAAATACTACACTGACCTTGGACCAAGGTTTGGGAAGGGACACTTTAATCCCAGGAGAAATATACTGATACACTGATCATAGGCAGAAATGTCAATAAATAATCAAATAATTCTGTCATTTTTGATGGGTACTATATTATTTATGAACATAATCTCTTCTTGAGTAACTAAAATACATATAAATAGGGGTAGTTCAAGCATCAGTCAAACTCTACATGGCTATGGTAATAGCAATAGTAATAACAGTTTCCTTATAAAGAAACATTTGATATTCATTGACCAAGCAGTCAATGCTACTCCAGTTATGCTTTCCTTACTCTATGACCATCAGGCTGATATCAAATTGTAGTATCTGTTCTCCTAATCTCTAATTGTAATGGTAATATTAACCATTTCCTTATAAGGAAATATTCAGTATTCAGTGACTAATAGTCAATGTTAATCAAGTTACCCTTTTCTTCAGTCCCTGAAAACTGAGCTGGGATCAAAGTATAATATCTGCCTTTGGGCGGACAAACTTTCAATTGTGTTTCTGTCTTCAGACAGAACACAACAAACAAATAAAGGATGCCTAGACCTGGAGATTCCAAACCTGTGGCAGTACTTCCATCATTGCACCAAACAAGGGTCAATGGAATATCAATGCCACCGCAACGCTGGCCTTGGCACAAGTGTATATAGTTGTGCTCCCCACTTTAAAACGACCTTGTGCTATCTCTACTCACCAGGTGGCGATGTGAAAGTAACAAGTGCACAATCTGGTCTCCTCATCTCTAATGGCAAAGATAATATTAGCCATTTCCTTATAAGGAAATTTTTGGCATTCATTGGCCAGGTAATCAGTGCTACTGGAGTTAGGCTTTGCTTCATTCCCTGCCCATCAGGCTGAGATCAAAGTGTAGTATCTGGTCTTCTCATCTCTAATGGCAAAGATAATATTAGCTGTTTCCTTACAAGAAATGATTTGATATTCATTGACCAATTAACCAATTGAAATTTATAAAATCTCTCTATTAAAACAATTTTCAGGAAACTGGTTTCTCAAGTCCATTAGCTGTTATCGCTTTTTCAAATATTGATAGGGGATTTTTTTCTATCTTTTTTTGGTTTAAAATAGTATGTTATTATTTTCTCTTTGAATTACATGTACTGTCTGTTTTAGTTGTTGCTGTTGTTGAAAGTGCTCAAGTGACGTTTGTTATTTGATACAGTTCTTTGTTTGTAATTCTGTAATGCCAGTACATGAACTTCAAAGAAGGATAAAAATAGAAAATAATAGAAAATACACATATTAAGTAGTAAATAATAATAATAATAATAGTTGGCCACTCATATTCGAGGATACCTGTCTACTAGGGTGGCTAGCCAATCCCTATTGCAGACTCTTGCTCAGCCACATTTGTGTTTGTTCAACATCCACAGAGCCAACCTGTGGTTTATACCGCAACTATGCTGAGCAGACCTTAGTTACAGTTTATGGGAGAGAACGTGTTATCTAGAATGATCCACAATCTTATCAAGGCCAGCACACTCAAACCCTCGGTCACGATGATTTGTGACTTTGTGCTTGCCCAGCTATCAAGGGCCTCCAAAGGTTCCATCAAACCAATTTCACTCACAAGGCTTGGGTCAACCCATGGTATGGTTTTCAGGCACTTTCCAAAGATGTTGCATGCTAGGATTGTCCCCCTCCTGACTGATAACGTTTTCATAGTGAGATTCGAACCCAGGTCTCATGGTCAGAAAGCAAATGTTCTAACCACTCGGCCATGCACCCATTAAGTAGTAAATACATAAATATATAGATAAACTAAAACAAGAAAATCCCATAGCATCACTCCCACCGGGAGTATTAAATCTAAGATCATCAAACAAATGCTTGACCATTTCATGAATTATTGATTCACTGAGGCTATCACTGGTAATTACTTTATCTTTAATCCACATGAAAAGCAAATTTTCTGTCTCTTCAATAAAAGTGCTATATTATTTAATAAGTTTTTTTTTTTCCCTTAGCTATCTAAATCCTGTTTTTAAAATTCAACCTTGTTTTTGAGCATTGGGCAGATTTTTGATTTTGACATTCTCTGTGCTGTACTAAGTTTGCTAAAACTGATTAGACTTTCTTATTTAGAAATGATTTCCTTCTTAATTGCTTCAATAATTAATTTTTTCATTCACTTCTGTCGATCCATGGGTATGTTTTTAGTATTAAAAAGAATATTATGTAAAATATTTTCAATATAAAGCATGAAAATTTGCAATCTTAAGGCAAGAAAGGAATGCAATATGGAGCCTGAGTTGGCTTTGAGGAGGCTAACAACTTATGCAAATGTGTAATCCACTTGTATTTCATTGTCCAGTTTTTCAGCTCATTAGGCAAAGTTAATTTTCTTCAGAAAAAAATGTTCATTGTTTGGTTTGTTTTATTATCACTATTTATTTTTTTAATCAAGTCACCCCAAGTAAGGTGATAATGCCACTAAGATGCAAGGGGGGCTACTGAAAGTGAAAGAGAAGGAAAAGACTTTAGAAGGGAGCAGGAATCCAATAATAGTATAAATTTTCAGATTTTGAGCAGAGATGTTAAAATTATAAAGTTGAAGTATAATTTGGAAGGAACTGTAAACCTAATCCTAAACATAAAACAAGGGAATAAACCTCTACTCCTGTTCAAAAGACTGAGGAGAAGTATGAACCAGATGATAGTTAAACCAATCAACTCCTATTTAGTAAACTATTCAAAATTTGATACCCACTCTGTGTGTGTGTGTGTGTTTGTGTATGTGTTTGTGTGATGAATTTTTACTCCTTTTTTATGTCAAAAGGAAAAGGTTAGGCTTACATGTTTAAAAATTACTTCTTTCTTAATTTCTTCAGCAATTGATTTTCTCACTCACTTATGTCGGTCCATGATTAAGTTTTAATTTGCTGTAAAATATTATTACTTTTACTATATAACTTGAAAATTTCCAAACTTATATATATAGTCGGCACTGCGTATACTCTCAGCTACTTTTATGAATTCATGGTTGCCTCATGGTTTGCCATTCAAATTTCATCACAATTAAATTTAATTAGGCAAATTAGATTTTCTTCAAAATACTGTTTATTATTCAATTTATTTTTTTTAGTAAATCATATATTGTTGTATCCTAGAAAAGGTTACTGAATGAGGAATAATAAGGTTGGAAATGAAATGATAATCTTTATATCAACAAGAAAATACAATACTCGCCAGCGACTTGAAATAGGTAAACCACTGCTAGTGGTGGACAACTTAGACAGCGTATTACCCCCACTTACAATAGTGTCCAATGTATTTATGAGGATTGGTACATACCCATTAGTGTTCATAGCTACGGTATATAACATACATATATGGGTTACTATTATTTTATGTTCCATATCCCTTTAGGGATCAGGTGATCATGGCTCTCCACAACCTCCTATCTGTTGTAGCTCTAAGCACTCTTCATACTCTTACTATCTCTCTCATTCTCTGTCCTGTGGTCCATTTACACAAGCTCATTAGATAGATTGATCATGGCTCTCCCCAACTTCTTATCAGTTGTAGCTCTAAGCAATGTCTGTATTCTTACTATCCCTTTCAGTCCCTGTCCTGCCACCCATTTACACATGCTCATTAGGTGCATGGATCATGGCTCTCCTCAACTTCCTATCTGATATATTGAAACACTGGTTCTTGTAAAAACACTGAAATTAAGCAACATCAAGCCTGGTTAGTATCTAGATGGGTGACTGCATGGGAATATCAGGAGCTGTAAGCTTGTATGTGTGGGTGATGTTATGGATAATGGCTCAGAATGGTTAATTGGAGATCTGAGTCCCAATTCATTTTGGACTCATTATATTCACTTATGCACAAATGTCATTGGAAAAGGTATGAATACACCTCTTCCCCCCAGCTATGGATTAATTAGTAAGACTTGTGTCACTAAACCATTATTATCCAAAAAAAAAATTCTTATAGTCTAAAAATATTTCCTGGCTTTAAATAACCCGCAAAGGGTTGATAAGCCATAGAAAACGAATTAATCTATCAGTTTGATACAAAAAGAAAGAATATGTATAGCTTATATAAATGGGGCGTATCTTTCAAACTGAGACATGTTCATCTATCATATGTTTCACATTTTTGAACAGGAGTTGAGTTTCCATTTACTTCTAAAGCTTTTTCCTTCTCTTTCACTTCCGGTGAACCCTTACGTCTTGGTGGCCTTATCACTATGCTTGTGGTGGCGTCTCTTACTCTGTAACACACTACCTCTAGTGGCTCTTAGGCCTTATACAGAGTGAAGATCACTGTAAAAAAAACTGAGAAACAAAGCCTGCCTTAGTAACACAATTCTAAGAATATTAACTTGCAATTGAAATTCAACAGTTGTCTCCCTTGAACTAGTTGGTCAGGGAAGGGAGACAACTTTTTCGTTTGCGTAATAGCTTTAAATACGAACCAAATGCACTCCAAATTGTTGAGCTGTTCGGAAATCAACATCAAATTTGTTGTGTTCTCCATAAGATTCCACATAATTTCCACTGATCGGAATAGAAGCTGTCCGGTCGGATCAGGATCCAATAACTGAGAACACAGTGTGTACGCTATATTCTCACTCAGCATTTGATCGCAGCACATTGCTGGAAAGAAAGCAGAAAAATTGTTTGCAGAAAAAAATGGTTTCTCATAATTTTACTAATTTTAGGCAAATAAAATTTATATAAATGTAAGATTAATATAATGTGGTCGTTATCATTAATCAGACAAAAAATACCCCAAAAAAGATTTATTAAATTGTTTATTTACAAGAATAATTTTATATTTACAACATTGTAAAAACTAATACAATTAATGCAATATTTAGCATTTACCATCTTTTTAAAGAAAAAAATATGAAAACAATTTTTTATAAAGATTTACTAAATTATTAAAATATGTGAACCAACTATAAAGAAATCCTTATTATTTACTATTTTATAAAGTTTAAATCAATTGGCAATTAGCCGATGTTTTGCCAACCATTCCAGTAAACAATCTAATAAATAAATAGTGTTTATTAATTTTGTTGTTAATTCTCAAGAACAAAGAAAAAGTATAAATTCACTTTCATATGTTTAGGTTTTATTAAAATTCTAATCCTCACTTTTTAAAACAATAAACACTGCTGAGGAGGGAAGGTAGTTAAAATAATAAGTAGTGTCAGGAGAAAAACTGTCCTTTTGGCATTCAGGTTTTTTTTTGTGGGGACAAAATTTAAACATTGTCAAAAAATATTAGTATAGAACTTACAGTTACATCTAGCAATCTGAACTGTAAAATGATGAGACCTAGCTGCCAATCTAGCACTGATCTTAAATTCATGAATTTGAAGTATCAAAGAGGAAAGCTCATCAAAACAATTCCTTTGAAAATATTTGTTGAAAAGACTCATGGAAGCTACATTACAGTGATAGGAAAATGACTGAAGCTGAGATGTCAGATCAGCAATAAAGATTCTCATTTGGATTTTGTAAAGATTCTCTCAATACATAGCAGAGGCATCTGACCAGATGTAACAGAAATATTCAATTCAATATTTAATATTTTTTAAAAACTTCAACCTTCTGTTAAATTTTGGTTAAGTCCGTGTAAACTTCCAGATGTAAATTTACAGATTGCGACATCTATCAGAAAGATAAAATTTAAATTTTTTTTATTGCATTATTTTAAAATTTTAACACAGCAGCAGATATCTATTAATGTCAACAACTGGACATAAATAGTTATTAATTAAAAAACTTAGTAATTAATGTATAATTTTAAATTTATTAATAGAAAATAAAAGTAAGTCATATTACTAAAATCATAAAAACAAATTGAAAATCAGAAGAGTCAGAATCACTAGTCACAGAGAGATCTGAATCAGATGTCTTCAGATACATCTTCGTTTTTTATGTCTTCATAATATAATTTAACCACTTTATAGCATTTTTGTATACAATAGTTAATTGTTTCACTAGATATATTTTCAATTTCTCCTTTTAAACTAGCAAACACATCACTGAACTTGGTATTTGAATTGTATTTTCTCCTAACCTCAGCTTTTGTGATAACCTACATGAGTTCTATAGCTTGAAGATAAGAGTGGTAGGGAGAAGTAAAAACCACTTAATTTCCAGCATTTTCAGCCATGTTACATATTGGTTTGACAAACAACTGTATGTAATTTTGAATTTTATTGCATAGCATTGATTCTTTTTTATGAAATTCGCTACTTTTTCATAATCAATTTTAGATTTATGTTCATTCATTCTAAGATGTTTTATTTCTTCAAAAACAACATTTTTGTCATATTTTTAGATATTATCCATAACTACATGTACAAGAATGTCGTTTTTGATAAAAATTTAAAAAAAGAACCATAAATATGTAAAAAATGCGTATAGTGTTGAAAATTCCTTTCGACTTACAGGATAAATCAGAAGCTGGTCTGGTACAGTAAGTGTTGCGAAACACTTCCTAGTCTCGCAACCCAAAATTCAGTCAGGGATCAATTAATAATGAGAGATGAAGAGAACTACGGAACGACTCTGTTCTCAAAAAGTCCCTCTCATGAAAAAAGATGAGAAAGGAAGGAAGGCAGACCTTAAGTAACAAGGTGGCAGACCTGCGCATCCCACCACTTCCGGTAAAAAGATTACAAAAACCAGTGCTCAGAGCGGTCTTGCTTTAAAAAACAAGCCATGGCAAACACTCAGTCTCCCACACCTGATCACAACCCCACACAGGCAGGTAATTTCAATTATTTTTCCACAATATAGTTATTTTTAAATTAAACAATAATAATACTGAATAATATTTTTTAAACATTAATATATATTGAATAACATCTCTGTAATAGCTGCCACGATCTGTTAAAACATTTATTGTCATGACATCAGTGGAAATTTATCTGAGTAAAAAAATATTCAGCCAATTCAAATTATTCAATTTATTACTATCAATGGCAAACTGTTGTTAGATGCTGATTTCTGATTGAATGATTTTTAATCTGGTTCCAACCAATAAGAACTAATCATGGTGTTAGTTAAATAGAAAATAATTGTTTTTACCAGAATGTCTTGAGAGCTTTTGAAGAGTTTCCAGTACCAAGAGTTTGTTGTTGCGATCATTTTCCACAAGTTGGATGGCCTAAAAGAAATTAATTATTAACACAAAACATTGATTTTTGTCAAAGATTAACAAAGATAAAAATTACACAGCATTTCAAACATGTAAAGTGAAGACAAAAATAAGCACCAAGTCAGTAAATCATCAAATGCCAAAAAATCGTTTCTGAGTCAAAAGATACACAAATCCTTCCAGTTAATAAATTAATCCTTTGAAAATAAATATTTAATATTTTTCAACCAATGGATCATATTCTCACTAAAAAAACATGCTTTGTGATCTCTATGAAGTATATTTAAGCATAGTCCTTAGATGGGCAAAAGGAGTAAGGAGACACATGCAGCAACAGCACAATGGCATAGCTTAAAGGAAACTCCCTTACTTATTCAACGGTTTTCCTCACCAAGCTACATGACACTTACACTCTTCCTCACCAAGCTACATGACATTCACCCATCTTCTTCACGAGGCTATGTGACACATACAGTTTTCCTCACCAAGCTGCATGACATTCACTCGTCTTCCTCACTAAACTACATGACACTTACACTTTCATTCTCACTTTTTTTTTGCCTCTTTTTTCTCACACATACACACAAAGAAATCACACTTCTTTTCATCTTAATCAAGGAACTTTAACACAAGAACTTTAACAAACACTCATACATGCTGAGAAAAATCGAGTTGTAAAAACACAAAAATAAAAATAGGTTATATATTTATATTTAAAAAAATTTCTCGCCTTTTGCTTTTTTTTTTTATCGGCCCAACCCATTTCTACTCAGATATGACACTTTGTTGACTTGGTAAATTTTGTTTTACTGATTTGGTAAAGTTTGGCACAAGGCTGATGTCGGCAGTTCTCATCGGCAGATAATCACATAGGGTGTCTTGTATTCAGTGACTAGAACAAACTCTCTCTCATCTATCTTGCTTCAGGCATTCATATTTATTGACGTTCACCTAAACTGGTATGGGGAATGGTGCACTTGGAGAATTTGGTATTTCCTCCTCTTGTTATCTTCATTGTTTTAGGTCCTGAAATTAAATTATTTCATAATTATGGGTAAATTCCTTCTTCCACAGGTGATGGTCACAAACATTACTCTGCCTCATAACTCCCACTTCCTCTTATTATCATCTCCCACTAATCCTCCTCAGTGGGCATGGGTGGCTCCTCCACCTTCCTTGGTGACCTATCTATGCCCGCTACCTCAGCTACCCTCCGACCAGTAACCATTAAATCTAAGTTTGTTGTTTATGCAAAAAATTTTCCCATTCATAGCTCATATTTTTAGCTGTGTGTAATAAGTGTCAATCATTGTTGCCATTTGACCTGTCGCAGTTCAAATCTACATCACCCTATGCATTTCATTGTTCAAAACCTTGATACCCAATTCAGATGGCTGTCTACATGAGAATTAAAATCTTCAATTTTTCCCATGGGTTTTATCCATTAAACCTTCTTATTTATCATGGCATTGTCAATATATTGTTCCTTCTATTCAAAGAAAACCTTCTTATGATTATTAGTAACAAATAGTGTCACATAGTGGTGTCAATGGAAAAACTGTCCTTTTTTTTGCAAGCACAAAGGTTCAAGTTTGCTAATATTTTTACAAGACTTAATTTTCACCCCCTTAAGCTTCCACAAACAAAAGGAACATCAGCTCAATTATTCAGGCTCTTTTTTAGGAAATTGAAATTCATTATTTGTTCTCTTTTCATCAGTTACATCCTAGATGCTATTGATATCTATGCTTGGCCTACTGATTGGATTATATCAGGATAGTATGGATGCTGATGACTTCAAGCATTTTATTCTCTAGTGCAGTGGTTCTTAACCCTTTTTGAGTCGTGGACCCATTTAGTTACGGACCCCTTTAGCCAGAGTCCCCTATAAGAACTAGCCCTTTTCCATACTGCACCCTCATGCACACTGCACACAGATCACATTTCAGCCAGCCATGCTTGAAAGAAATTGTGGTCAATTAATCCCCATTAGTATATGAAAAGATAATCAGGCCGTGATAAACCATAGAAAATGAGAATTATCACTTGCTTTTATGGAGTGGCAAAGAATGCAGAGAATGATGACATGTATTTAAGTGGTAAACATTGACCCAACAGCAAGTCAAGAGATGTTTAGCAGTCAGCACTGTAAGTATTGGCTGCATGCGTTTTCTATCAAGCAGTGGCATGATGTATTTTCTTTTATTTCTTTTAACAGGAAATTTATCTGATCCTCATGGATCCCCTGAAAGCCATCCTAGACTCTAGTGTTCTTCTTTGTCTAAAACAAATGGTAAACCCTACTATACTAGTCAGAACCTTCATGACTTGAACTGAATCAGGGTCGTTTGAAGCCTGGAATCCTGTTAATGATGGACTTTCTTTGTTTAAGTTTTGATATAAAACATACAAACATGCAAAAATGGGGAGTAGAGAAGCCACAAGCCTTGGTCCTCATCTAAGCCTTCCCCTCCCAGATATCTTTGTATGCTGTGGTTTCCATGTGAATATGATAGATAGCTACCTGACCTATTGACATATGGCCTCTCTACCTCCTTCTTCCTTTCACTTCTACTAATTCCCTCTGTAATAGAGAGAGTTAAAAAAAAGAATGAAGAAAATTATTTGTCATTGAATCAGTTAGTGATGCAGTATTGCGGTCTCTACTGAGAAATTGCCAAAAGTCCACTAGAATCCAGAGATGACATGCAACATGACAACTTGAACAGCCAGACCAGATTTTTAATGCAGCCACATCAAGTAAAAAGACTTACGAACATTAATTTGAAAAAAAATTTCCTATTGCGACAAGAGGAACGAACTAAGAAACTGAGGTGTTAAGTGAGAAAATAAATACTGGTAGGTGGCATTCTGGAGGGAGGGGGTTGGTCTGGCATTGAAAGATCGTGGGTAAGGGTGGTGGTTATAAATGAAGAATCAAGACAAGAAGACAGCTTCCTTTTCTTCTGAGGGTCATGCTGTATTGTTGACCAAAAGTAGGCTAGTGGAGAAGGAAGTTAAACAGAGTGCAGGAAAGGCTAATGGTCAGCATGGCAGACATAGATAGAAACAGAAGATCAGATGAGAATTTGTTGCATTCCCTTTGAAACCAAATCTGAGATGAAACCTGGGTGAATCAAAACTTTACTTTTCTGCACCAAAACGACACACTGGAAACTATAATCTATGGAGATAAGAGCTACAAAGGAAGAGAAGAAAATATTTAATATCTGACTGCTTTTTAGCACAGGCGAGAGCCAATTCCATTGTGATCATAAGGATGACATTTAATTGGTACATTAATGAATCAACCCATAATTTATTTTTATTTAATTTCATTAACAAATAATTAACCAATGGGTTAATTCCTATAAAAATAAGCAACTCTTCTTTCAGTGTTAGAATTTCAAAACTAGTTTGTCTCATAAGGAATTTGCAAGCTACCTACAGCGAATAAATAAGAACTGAGGAGATGCAGCTGGGAAAATTTTATATCAGAATAACAAAAAAAAACAAAATGCGTGGGTGGTTGGAAGCATTGTATATAAGTGCAATATTTCAGTAATTTTATTTAAAAACCTGCTACATACAGCAATTCTTATCTAAAATGGCTTACAGTGATATCACAATTGAAACACCGAGTGTCGTACAATCAGTGAAATTTAAGCAATGTCAAACCTGGTCAGTACCACTTGGGAATAACAGATGCCAGAAGATTAGATGTGCAGTTAGTGAAATGGATAACAGCTCAGAATAGAAAACTGGAGAGAGCCATGTTCCAATTCCAGTCAGGTTTGTTATATTCATTTATGCACAAATGCCCTTGGGAAAGGCATGAATCCACCTTTTCTCCTCCCCAGCTGGTCAGTGTGCTTCTGAAGTGTCATTCTGGTAACATATGGCTGAGCCTTGTCCTGAGAAGCAGAATTGAACCTTTTCAATTATGCAGTGCTGATCTCATTTTGCTTAACTGAATAGTAAGCTGGTGGTAAGCTTTCAGCAGTGAAGTCCTGATACCAAAGAGCTTTAATGAATAAAACCAATGACGAATCACCAAACAGTTACTATAATCTTTTGTTGGTTCAATTTTGGTTTTGGAATATGTCTGAGTTCTTCCTTGTGATCAAGCCATTGATCTGATATGATTGTCATAAAAGATCGATTTCTCATCACAAGTCACTATTTGATCAAGAAATGGATCATTCAGATTTTGAAGATGCTGCATTGGACAAACTTCAAAATGTTAAACTCTTTGATGTTCGCTGAGTTCATAAAATGTTTATTGTAAAATTGGACATTATTTTCCAAACAATCCCATCAGACAAAAATAACAAAGAATCAATAAATAGCTGAATCCCACCAATTCCATTTTCCACACTGATAATGAATTCACTACATAGACTTTGGAATATATTACAAAAGACATAAGCAATAAAAAAACAAATAAGAAATTATGAAAATTTTGTGAAAAAGCAATTTCTGTAAATACATGTACATGTGTGTGTGTGTGTGTGTGTGTGTGTGTGTGTGCGTGCGTGTGTGTGTAGAAAGTACTTACTTTTACCAGAGTTACAGCAACATCACTTTGTTCAATTATTTTCCTGAGAAACTGCACAGTGCAGGGTTCATGCTCTGAAGATTTAAATAAACAACACTTGATTACTTTATTACTAGACAAAAGGTCTAATTGCTGGCATGCCACATCATTTGAAGAGAGAGAGAGTGAGTAAAGGAGCAGACCAATAAAAATAGTTGGAAAAGGTCACTCTCAGAGTCAAGATTGACAGAAGTTAATAAATTCTGGGATAGCCTGGCTTGCCATAGAGTTAGGGATTGGGGAGGGGTAAAAGGCAATACCATGTTTCAGCCTTCCATTTGGGGGGGATGGGGGATCATACCCCCCTTTTACAACTTTTTCTATATTTTTCTATATATATATATATTTTTATATATATATATATATATATATATATATATATATATATATATATATATATATATATATATATTATATTATATATATATATATATATATATATATATATATATATATATTATATATATATATATATATATATATATATATATATATATATATATATATATATATATATATATATATATATATATATATATATATATATATATATATATATATATATATATATATATATATATATATATTTATACATATATATATATATATTTCATTCATATATATATATATATATATATATATATATATATATATATTATGTTGAGTTTAGACAGTGAAAATACTTTCAAGACCCTCCAAAATATTTATAAAATATTCCAAAATAGAAAACCAGCCCTCCTAACAATATATAAGTGTATTTATTATATATATATATATATATTATATATATATATATATGTATTTATTATATATATATATATATATATATATTTATATATTTAGTTGGATAGATGTGAGTTTGTGACCTGGGTTTTCGCGATCAGACAAATTGTCTGACGATCGCTAAAGCGTGAAACCCAGGTCACAAACTCACATCTATCCAACCAAATATGTTAGCTCTATCTCTGATATTGAGCGCTTTCTAAGTAATTACATATAATATATAAATAATTATACATATATATATATTTATTTATATTTATATTCACTTTTCACATATATATATATATATATATATATATATATATATATATATATATATATATATATTTTATACATATATATATATATATTTCATACATATATATATATTTTTCATACATATATATATATATATATATATATATATATATATATATATATATATATATATATTTATGAGTTTAGACAGTGAAAATACTTTCAAGACCCTCCAAAATATTTATAAAATATTCCAAAATAGAAAACCAGCCCCTCCTAACAATATATAAGTGTATTGAGCCAGAGTGTTGGAATAAAAAAAGCAACAATAATAAGATGGAATAAAACTAGCAATAAATTAAACACTAAAACATTTATAAAAAAATGGCTATATATATATATATATATATATATATATATATATATATATATAGCATGACATACTGTTAACTTGGACTTTGCTAACTAGAAATATATATATATATTATGTTGAGTTTAAATATTGAAAATGCTTTCAAGACACTCCAAAATGTTTTACATTGAGAATGTTTAACATTGAAAAACATAAGGAAAATTAATTCATTTTAATCATATGTGGAAATATCCACTCTTTGCCTGAAGAAGATCGCAAGACCTGAAACACCTGTTGCAAAATAATGGAAAATAAAGCATAATATATATTTTTTAAAAAATCCATATAACAGCCAAAAATGTTTGCAGTTTCTCTTTTCTTTTTAATATATACACTTTTCTCTCGTTAGAACAACTATAACTTCATATATATATATATATATATATATATATATATATATATATATATATATATATCCATCCAAATATACATAGATTGTACTTACTGAAAACATGTTGTGTAGGATGATTTTCTGAATACAAAGACCATAAAGTTGCACAAATTTGAGCTTGAATTCCAGGACAAGGAGCTCGTAATAAATAACCTATCAACACAAAAATAAAAAAGGTTGACATTAAAATTGCTCCTGAAGATTCCAAGTTAATGAAATTAAATATTATATAATCTGGATCCTATCGACTTCTTACATTAATTTCTGGTTGATTTTTCTTTAGCAGCATAAAAACAAGTCTATCAGTTATTTAAAGCTGAAATCTAAATATTTCGTATGCAATTTTATGCCTTCAGCTACAGATATTTTGTACATAATTTTATATTTTCAGAGTAAATATATGTTTTTTAGATATATAGTTTGTAGATCATAGATTATGTATTGCTGTTAATTTTACTATAAAAACGTATTTTTATACATTTTTTAGTATTGTATTGATTGTCATTTTGCTATAAAAATGTATTGATTGTCATTTTAATATAAAATGTATTGTTGGTCATTTTACTATAAAAATGTATTGTTGGTTATTTTACTATAAAAATGTATTGTTGGTCATTTTACTATAAAAATGTACCATTGATTTTTGTATGTTCAGTTTCCTTACTTCCTAAACTAAATTTGTTATAATTGATCCATACACCAAGTTCTTTGAAGTGTTTAAAATTTACCAATTCCACATCCTAAATTTTTATGATAGATTCAGGTTACATGCCATCACTGTTTTCATTTCAATTCCAGACAGTTTCTGTTTTTGGGAAGGTTTCATTTGAGTCCTATTTCTTGGAACACTTGGTAGATGTTGATTTTTTTGTTTAAGATTATTTTTATTCCAATTACGAATACCTATGTCATCAGCAGATCCCCCAAACTGATACATCATCAGAACAACGGTCCCAGGAGGGAAAGCAGGAATACTGTTTTCTATTAAGAAATTCATTTTGAATTTGGCATGGAATGTTTAAATGATCAGGGCCCTTTTCGACACACCTGTGCAGAGCAGAGTTTGGAAAGAGATTAAATAGATTGTCATACTCCTGATGAGGTTTCAAATGTTTTAGTATTGGGGTCTTCGTCAGACATTGGTAATCTTTTATTGTGCCAAAATTAGAAATTAAGTTTTATCATAGATATATAGGTATAGGAAAAAAACAAAATGTATACTATAGACCAATAGTTTTGGGGCCACCTTTTGCATTTAATAATTATTAAATTTCATACCTTCTTTTGTTTAACTAACTCCTACTAAGTTAGCTTGTTGAAACTAATTAAACTACAAGTATATGGCATCCATACTTTTAAAGAGGGCATTATCTAAAATTTAAAATCTGCCAGCTCTAAGATTATCATTAGCCATTATGATAGATTAGGCAAAATGAACTAAAATTCTAAGAAACTTTTTGCAGTAAACAGGTTAATTTTGTTATTATTATTATTATTATTATTATTATGATATGATAAAGCCCATCAATTGTCCTGGGTATGACGATAAGCTACATCCGCATCCTGGGTAAGATGATAAACTAGATCCAACAGCAAGACCTCTGATCAGAAAGGTTTTGAGGAGTGTGGAATCACTTCTTAATTGCTAGTGTTCCCAGCTCCACTCTGACTCAAGGTGGTAGCACCTGTTAGGGTCCCAGCTATGGGTAAATAGTTAACCCCCAAACTGGGGTAAAAACACTATGAAAGTGTAAAAATAGGTTTTAATAACAGAAATACTTAGTAAAAAATTATTACCAGCAATAAATCTTTGAAGAATAATTATTACCAGCAATAAATTATTACCAGCAATATATTTTTGAAAAAAAAATATTACCAGCTATACATTTTGGAAAATAAAATTACCAGCAATACATTTTTGAGAAAAAAAAATATTACCAGCATTAAAAACCTTGTCGGCATTAAATGGCCCATTGAGGTGTTGATATGCCGTAAAACAAAACAAACCGAACCAAACATCCCAAGAAAGTAAATAAATCTCAAAGACATGCCCGTGTATTTAATCAGTTGATTATTGATGTATTCCCAAATCATTGCAGGTTATTTAAAGCCAGAAAATATTCTTAGATTGCAAGAATTTTTATTTTTGGGGAGTTAATGATTTAGTGACACAATTCTTACTAAGAGAGAAGATGTGGATTCATAGCTAATCAGAATTTGATAAACATATAAAAAATTATAATGTGGATATCAGGAGGTTTTGGAGAGTATGGAACTACCTCTTAATTGCTGGTATTCCCAAGTCCACTGAGGTTGATATGCTGTAAAACAAAACAAACCAAACTAAACTAAAACCATTCAAAAAGAGAAAGTCTCTCTGGCGTGAAAGCAAGCTAGTAAATTATTTTTGTAAAACCTTCAATTTTTAGGTGATGCTTTAAAATCCAAAGAATGGTCGATTGGTTAATTTGGTTTAGTGGCATATCAACACCTCTATGGGTTTATTTAATGCTGAAATCTAAATATTTCATAACAATTTTATGGCTTCAACTAAATATATTTTGAATTCAATTGTATGCCTTCAATTACAGATAAAATGTATTGTTGGTCATTTTGCTATAAAATGTATTGTTGGCCATTTTTTATATACAAATGTGTTGCTGGTATTTTACTATAAGAATGTATTGTAGGTCATTTTACTATAAGAATGTATGTTTAAGTATTCATAGTGTTTTGTTTTTGTTTAGGTTTCATTACTTGCCCATAGCTTGGACTCTAACAGCAGCTACCACCATGAGTCATGTTGATGATTTAAATTTTTGAAGATTGTATTTATCAGGGAAACAAGGAAACAGAAGGGAGTTCCACAGGTAGGAAGTGTGAGAAAAGAAATTGCTGAAGTAGAAGTGGTGATTGCCTTTAGCTATTTCAACAGTAAATGAATGGGACCTAGATGCTAATCTAGTAGCACACTTAAATTCATATAGTCAGGGCAACAGGGAAGCTTGTCAAGAGCAGTTGCCATGAAAATATTTGTAGAAAAGACAGAGGGAAATCACATCACGTCTGTGAGAAAGTGGCTGAAGTCAAGATGAAGATTGATTACATTGCAGATCCTTTTTTGGATTTTGTCAAGAACCTTGAGATGTATAGCAGGCGCACTAGACCAGATATGGCAATAGTATTCAATGCACATACGAATGGTAGCTTTATAAGTGTGAAAGATCAATTCTGATGAGAAAAATTTTCTGGCAGTAGACGAAGCAACTGATATAGTTTCTCCACTTCATGTCAGTGGAAAACGTGAGACCAAGAAGGTGTAGGATGTTGCTCTCCTGGAGTTTAACATCAACCATGCTGATGGCATGTAGAAAAGGTTCTCAAAACAATTTAGATTTGAAATTGAAGTAACAGGTTTTTGTTTTTAGGACAAGAAAGGAAATTCATGAGCCTATAATGGTTAACCCAACGGTAAGAAGTTAAGATTGTAGCGATTGGGAAAGAAAGAAGCAGTTCTTGGGAAGAAACTGTCCAAATGGAACTTATTTCTTACTAAAGGAATATGAAGGTAATGGGAATGATTCACTTTTGTGGACGTGGCATGGCAGATCCCAGTTGTAAAGGTCAGGGCTCGTGGGAATAAGGAATGTAGCTTGTTAGAAAATATGCCATGGAAATAGCAACAGAGCAGCAAGAGGCTCGTGATATTTCACTTGTAGGAAAGGGGTTGTAAGATGGAAAATAATTCATGACCCACACGGCCGTGTAGGCACTTTTGGACTTTATCAAAACAGGCAAGTGAAGACCAGGCAGCTCCAACCCAAATATGGCAGAAAAACTCCATTTTTGGTCTTTTCACCCCAAGCAAGGCAATAAAGCCACTAAGATGCAAGAGGTTACTGAGTGTGAAGAGAATATGAACAAAATAACACTTAAGGAGAGAGAACAATAAAAGAAAGGGAATTAAAAAGACACATTGCATTTAAATTTTTGATGATCAAACTTGACTTGAAATCAAGAAGCCGGAAGAGAGTTCCACAAATGAGATGCTGAAGAGAAGAAACTCTTAGCATAGAACTTACAGTTACAGCTAGCCATTTCAACTGTAAAATGATGAGACCTTACTTCCAATCTAGTACTGGACTTAAATTAATAAAGTCTAGGTACCATAGAGAAAAATTCATCAATTACCATGAAAATATTTATAGAAACTAAACAGTGAAGCTAAGTTATGGCAATGAGAATGTAACTGAAGACAAGATACCAAGTCAGGACCAATAATATTGCAGATTCTTCTTTGGTTTTTATCAAGAATCTCTAAATGCAGAGCAGGAGCACCAGAGGAGATGAGGCAGCAATATTCAACGCATAGATGAACGGTAGATTTATGAATGTGTAAAATAGATTCTGGCAAAAACAAGTGTCTAGCACAACACAGTGAACTACCTTTCCTAGCAACAGACCTAGCAATTGATTCAATGTCAATGGAAAACATTAGTACGAGAAAGGGCAATGAGTCACTCTCTTGGAGGTTAGCATTAGCCATGATGATGGAAGGTAAAAATTTTTCTCTCAGACAATTAAAAGAGAGCAGTTTTCTTTTGGAGTTTGTAATGTGTTTATTATTACCTATATTATTATTCAGAGAAACTTTTAATGTCTTTGGCTTACGGCCATATCATGTTGAAACACCAGTTTTTATCCAATCACTGAAGTTAAGCAATGTTGAACCTGGTCAGTACCTAGATGGGTGACTGCCTTGGAATACCAGGTGCTGTAATGATGGATAATGGCTCGGAATGAGAAATCAAAATTAAGCAACGTAGAGCATGGTCAGTACCTAGATGGGTGACTGCTTTGGAATACCAGGTGCTGTAAGCTTGAATGTGCAGGTGGTGTAATGGTTAATGGCTCAGAATGAGAATCAATGTTGAGCCAGGCTTGGTCGATACCAAGACGGGTGACCACTTTCGAATACCAGGTGCTGTAAGCTTGGATGTGTGGGTCGTGTAATGGATTTTCTCAGAATGAGAAATCAAAATTAAGCAACATCTAGCTTGGTCAGTACCTAGATGGGTGACCGGTTAAGAATACCAGGTGCTGTAAGCTTGGATGTGCAGTTGGTGTAATGGATAACAGCTTGGAATGAGAAATTGTAGGTAAGCAACGTCTAGCTTGGTCAGTACCTAGATGGGTGACCGGTTGAGAATATCAGGTGCTGTAAGCTTGGATGTGAGACTGGAGGTTAGTCAGGTTTGTTACATTCACTTACATTCAAATACTCTTGGGAAATATATTAATCTACCTCTTCTCTTCCCAGCTATGGGTTAAATAGTAAGATGTATCAGAAAATTATTATCATCTCCAACTGATCTGTCTCTTGTAAAGCTAGAGTATAGCAGGGGATGTCTGGTTCTAAACTTGTTTTAATTTAAAAATGGTTGTATTTGCCACATGTGTAAAGTTGAAAATTATGAAAACACGAATAGAATCTGTTCATAAAATATATAAGCACTTACCAATCTGACAGACCGATTCCACGGCCAATTCAGCATAAAAGATTTCATCGGACGTTTTTTCTTTCAAGAATGGGAGAGAGCAGATTATCAACAAGTGTTTCATTGGTTCTTCATAAATTGGAATTTCTATCAGTCGGTTACAGCAGATATTCAAAATGTTGATGATATGAACCAAATCTTTCAATAATTAAAATCATGTCAAGGAAAGAAAAGCACAACTGTTGAAAAAAAACGTTCTTAAATTTAATTATTAAATCATAAAAATTGATAGTTAAGTATTTAACTTTTTTTTTCATTTCAGGGCTTCATGGAAAGTTTAACTTTTTAAAAAGAATTTTGAAAAATTTAAGAAACTTTAAAAAAAAAAACAGAACACTTTTTTTATGCTTTTAACAAATTGCACATTACGCAACCACAAACTGATTTTTTACAAACAGTATCCAAAATTCAGGTAGAAAAAATGCTTTATCTCTTAAAATTATGGAGAAACACCTATGAATTCACAAGAGAAATACATAGAAAATAAGGAAAAAAGGTATTGTCAATGGTCAGAAAGTCATGCAAGTAATAATAGGTTTTTTTTATAATAATTTTTTATTTTTTGATGGAGGCATAGATAGCTGTTCAGATTGAAATCTGGAGTTTTATTTAAAAAATTTATAAATAGAGTAAGATTGTATTAAGCAGAATGTCCAAACTCATTGAATTGGACATATGGTAGCATAATGGATTGCAGGTCAGATTGAGGAACCAGAGAACCAAGTTTGAATTCCAGTTGAGTTCATTGCATTAACTTACATACTAATGTTATAGACAAGCGTATGGTTGCAAGAAAGAAATACGACAACAGCAGAAATAGATTTACGTGGTTTATTTCAACAGGAACGTGAGGGTTTGGGACAGCTACCTTGTGGTAAAGTTCATAAGCCGGCTTTCGGATTTGGTCGATCTCTCATAGTAGTTCACACATGTTGACAGTGGTTGGTGGTCTCCTGCTGACAGCTGCTGAACGCTTGGCCTGACCGTAACAGGTCTCCCTTGTGGCCACCTGTTGACTGCCGCTGAACTTCCCTGTGACCCCTTTTATAGCGTTTTTATATGGCTTAACAGGCTCGAGAAACGAAGCGAGTATAATTAGGAGGGAAGCATTTTTATTGGACGAAAAATAGAGCACTTTAAATATTATTTTATTTTTTGACCGGAACACGTATGTCGGAAACATTTGTGAAGAAAGATAATGGTCATTTTGTGACGGGGCTTTGTCCCGTTCCCAGCCAGTTCTCGCTCTTGAGTATTTGCCTGTAAATCAGCCAAGATATGTCATTTTATTTTATAACACTAATATCCTTGGGAAAGGTATGAATCCATCTGTTCTCCCCGACTATGGGTAAATAGCAAGATAGACTGGGCTCTATAGCCATGGTTGGAAACCAATCTAGAAGAAGGAAAACTCTGAATTCAAACCACCTGCTGGCTTGTAGGTCTTGCCTCTAACTTCTGAGAGGAGGGATGGGGTAACCACAATATCCCTGGGGCAAAATGAACCGGTAAGCTATTGTCCTATTTTGCCTTGAACATCACCATGAAGCACAATTGTGAGATGGAGGGGAGTGGTGACCACAGTGCCGGTGCAAAAGTGTGCTAACTGAATAAATGATAAAATATGTCTTTTTTTTTTTTCTCATTAAGTCAGGCTCATAACAGCGGATGTCATTTGTCCAAAACCATTAAACTGAATCTTCACTTCACTGAATGGTTCCCTTTGCCAAAAAAATCCCAACATAAAAAATTAAAGGGAGAAAACTGCTATATTTGAATAGTGCTTTTCATAAATTATGCATCATTTAAAAACAATTGTCAATTTGATTGTTGTTTATTTACAATAATTAATGATTGACAAGAAAGTCAGTTGGTTTGTGAGGCTTATTTATTGTTGCCTGCATTTAAAACCATGAAATTGATTGCCTTTTATTCAGGTAACAAAAATAAGATTTAAATAAAAAAACAATTAAAATTAAAATATAAATATTAAAATAAAAAAACTAAAAAAAGTAAATTAAATTAATACAGAAGACTTTTTTAAATACTTAACTTATTTTAGCGTACATTTGAGATCAGACAAATATTTAAATGAGTTTATTTTTCGTCATTTTTTTTAGTCATTTTTAAATATCCCTTTAATAAAACTAAAATATCAAACAACATTATCATGTGAATGAAATACTTGCTGGTGATGTTATGGATAAAATTATAAATTAACAACAAAATTTTACAATCCAGTTCCCTGAAGAGTGACCATAATCTCTGAGAAAATCATAGTAGAAACAAGTTAAGAAAAGCTAAACACATACAAACTGTGTGTGTAATACTTCACAGATACTACACTCTTATCCTATCCTCGGCAGAAGTATTGATCCAAATGTGAATAATACCGATATTTTTGACAGGTATTATGTTAGTAGTTATAATCAATGTAGATTAGCAAACCTGAAATTTAGTAAACTTTTTCAAGGACATGATTTGTACTTTTTAAATAAATTAAAAATACAGGTGTTAACATTGATGATACTGTTCAAATTTAAAAATGAAAAAAAAATAATTGGCAAACAGATAAACATGCCAGCAATAAGACAGAGTATCAAAAGGATTTTTCCCATGGTACCATTTTTCTAACTCATTTCACTCTTTGGCAATGTTTATTGTTTTAAAAAGCAATGATTAGAATTGGAATAAAACCTAAACATATTATGAAAGAGAATTTATACATTTTCTTTGTTCTTGAGAATTGATGACTTAAATAATAAGCATTTAGCATCCTGCTACCACTTTTCTATCAATGTCAATTTTTGTGCAAATCTGTGCAAAAAGTGGATCACAGAGCCTTGATATTTTTTCTCACTTCTCTCTGGTCAGTTAATATTAAAATCATATTCTCGCCTACGTCCATACAATGCCTATGTGCTATTCAAAACCATTTTTCCGACAATAATCAGAAATGCTTTCCAGAGCCGATCGTGTGAGTACGTTTATTATAAATACGTTGACACAAGTTCATTCTATTTCTTTTTGCCTCTCTTGCCTTCTATGACATACAAGATGTAGTAACTAAAGAACTCGTGTTTCAACCCCTTATGGGTGAACGCTATGCAAACATCACACACATACATGTATGTACAGAACATTCACATATACAAATTCACTCAAACACACATTCAACAATTTCTACAGACAACACACATCTACAAACATTACAGAACATTCACTCTTTTAACTTCAAGTTACAGAATTCTGTCAACTCTCTCACAGTGAGACCTTTTTAAAAGTCAACAAGACACATTGTGGCAATGCTAAAAAAAACTTGGATATTCCTGTTTTTCCAATTCTTCACCAACAAGAAAAATACTTAAAAAAAGTCTTCTGAATCTAGAAGTTTTATCAAATATATTTTCAGCTTTCCAGGACATAATTCAAAGAAATTTTCTCACTCAGTTCTATTCAATGGAATTTACTCTTTAGTGAACATTTTCTTTTAGTGGCAAGATTTATTGTATTTATTTCAAAAGTACACAAACTAAATTTCATTTAATACAAAACAGAAGCTTCTTGAAACATCAAGTAATAATTCAAAGTTCCTTTTTACCAAACAAATTCTCACAGTATTCATATTACACAAAAACATTCAACTAATTCACAAAGAATATTTCTTGTAAAAACAAACTCTTTTTCATTGTGAGACCAGATAAATATTTTTCTTTCAAAAAATGTTTTCAAGCAATTAAATTAATAGCTAAGGGTGAACAACTCTTGTTTTATGCATTGTATATTATGTATTAAAAACACTACCTTAAAGGAACATTACAAAGCAATTTAATTTGCTAAATTAATAATAATATTGATCTTTAAAATTCAGTATAGCTCAGCTAAATATTCTGAGCAGTTTTTTCTTAATAATTTGTATGATTTCTATATAAATATTGTTGTTGTTTTACATCATTGTTATCGTCTCTGTATTACCTTATTAGCCTTGTGTCATACGATTAAAATTAAAATGTTTGTCGTGAAGTGAAATTTTGTACACGCAGCTAACCTCATATGACTAAACAGGCTTCTGATTAATTTTTAAACCTATTTAACCTTCACTTCTGCAACAAGCACTATTTATTTATTATATTATTTATTGGAATGGTTGGCAAAACATCGGCTAATTACCAATTAATTCAAACTTTATAAAATGGCAAATAATAATGATCTCCTTATAGTTGGTTCACATATTTTAATAATTTAATAAATGTTTATAAATTTATGAATGAAAAATTTTTTACATTTATTTCTTTATAAATTGGTAAATGATAAATATTGCATTGCATTAGTTTTAATTGTATCAGTTTTTGGAATGTTGTAAATATCAAATTATTCTTGTAAATAAACAATCTAATAAATAAATAGAGTTTATTATTTTTGTTGTAAATTCTCAAGAACAAAGAAAATGTATAAATTCACTTTCATCATATGTTTATTCGAGTTCTAATCCTCACTTTGAAACAATAAACATTGCTGAAGAGTGAAGGGAGTTAAAAAAAAGATGTGTGAAAAAACTGGCCTTTTCACACTACGTCTTATTGCGGGAATGTTTATCTATGTTTGCCAAAATTTTTAAATGATTCATAATTTAAAAAAAACACTTGTATTCAGAAAAAAAAAAGTTATCTCCCTTTCATTTTTTAACTTCAATGAAATGAACCACTCAACAAAGTGAAGATTAGTTTTAAATTTAACAGTTTCAATGAAGCCAGTTTTCAGGTGTAATAATGACATTAACTGTAATGATTACCTCCCTTTTAACATCTTGTCTTAATCTTTTGAGGAAATGGATTGAAAATGTTAATAATTTGTTTTTAAATTAAATCTAGAATTTTTAAAAATTGCATTAACTGAATGATGCATCTTAGTCTTAGGATTCAACTGAATTGTTTTTAAGTGCCATATCCATTCAAGACATAGGTGATCATTTTTCCACACAAATTCTTTTTCCGAAACGAAACTGCTCTCTTTAAATCATCTGAGAGAATACTTTCTACCTTCCATCAGCATGGCTGATGCTAA